GGGGCGGGATCAACTCCTGAACAACAACACAAACCCGACGTTTTATCCAGTTTGTACACAACGATGGAGAAACTTAACAAGCAGCAGTGGTCCACTGAAGAGACCAGCTACCTACTGGGAATCTGGTCTTCTGAAGAGGTACAGAGGAAGCTGGAGCACAATCAGCTGCGAGGGGTTTCCGCGCAGGTTGGCTTTATGAAGCAGGCACGCAAACGATGACGCAATGACGCAGCACCAGTCGGACTCTGGGCGGTGTGAAAAGAGCCGGAGCTAAACCGAAGAACCGGTTCTGAACCTGAAAAGCTCTAGCACGGAGCTTGAACCGGAGTTGCGTTGGTGTGAATGAGGTAAGAGTCCTGACTCCAATTGCTTCAGAAGTTTCCCCCACAGTATCCATCTTGTAATCAATCTCTTGAACAAAGTCTTTTTCACAACAAAACAAACTTGTACATTCAAAGAAAATCTGCTTCTGCCCTGAGTCGTCTCACATGATCTTCAGCCTCCGTAAAAGCTTTTTTAAAAATCTTTATCATGCTGACGTTACTTTCCTTTTACATAAAAAATGCAAGTATTAAAACAGGAAATATTCAATTAGCACACATCCTGAAGTTACATCTCATTCAATAACCTCTGTTTGATTGAGAAAGCAATAACCCAACAGCGTCTATCTCCTCCAATGAAGAACATATTAATGTTATCATGAATAAATTGTGTCCATCTTCAATCTCTTGAACAAAGTATTTTCCACAACAAAACAAACTTGTACATTCAAAGAAAATCAGCATACTGCTTTTTTATGTTCTGCTCTGGAGCTTTGAGTCATCTCACATGATGTTAAACTTTTTTTTAAATCTTTATCAAGCTGAAGTTACTTTCCTTTTACATAATAGGGAGGCTGTGGCTCAGTGGATAGTGCGCTGGACTTGGAATCAGGGGGTAGCAAGTTCGAGTTCCACTGCAGTCAGCATGTCGTTGTGTCCCTGAGACACTTCACCCCAAAGTGCTCCTGTGGGGAAAAGCTTCTAACAAGTGACATGTAATAATAATAATAATAAAAAATGCAAGAATTAAAACGAAATATTCAGTTTGATCCCATAGTGAACAGGATGTGGCTAATAGCACACATGCTGAAGTTACATCTCATTGAATAACCTCCGTTTGATTGAGAAAGCAATAACCCAACAGTGTCTATCTCCTCCAATGAAGATCATATTAATGTTATCATGAATACATGGGTTTGAAAATCAGCTGCTGCCTTTCTTCTCTGCTCTGGAGCTGTGAGTCATCTCACTTGATCTTTATCCGTGATCATTTCCAGTCTCCAAAGAAGCTTTAAAAAAATCTGTATCAAGCTGAAGTTACCTCTACATAAAACATGCAATTATTAAAACAGGAAAAATAAGATTTCTATGAGTATTTCATTTCCTTTTTAAACATAAGGATTAATTCTGTTTAAAGAACAGGAGAAATTCAGAAATTCATTTGGTTGTGCTGCTGTACATTGTACATTTGTAATTCCAGCTATCAGATAATGCATTTCATCATTAAAATGCTGCCTAGTGGATCCTCAAACAACAAAATAATTTAAATAAACAACTGTATTGACAGTGTCTGTAGTACCAACTCGTGGGACAAGGACACTATTGACATGTTTACATGAAGCATGTTGCATCTCAGCCCTCATTAGTTATCTGAACCTGCGAAGCAATTCATCTTTAATACATCAGAAATTCATACGAAGAGGTTTTGCTCCAGCTTTCGGGGATACATATATCCTGTTGGGATCTTCACAAGCGGCGGAGGAATATGTAAACCGTGCAGAGCTTTGGAGTTCCTGCTTAGCAACATGCACGTCTATCAAAGCTCACATGCTGAGTCGTACTTCTTTGGTATTCAGCGTATCCACCTGGAATAAAACCACACAGGGCAGATCTCACTGTCGCTCTCCACGTCAGGCTTTCTTTTGATGGTGCTCCATCACAGAATAAATCATGGCTACATCATCCACACACATGTCATTCTTTTTCTAAGTAATCCACAAGATACTTATCAATATTTACATTTTGGGACTTATCATTAACATATATATTAACAGTTTAAAGAGAGGAATGTAGTGTTTTTAATGATGTGTGATCATGCTTACCCTTTCATTGCCTCAGGAACATTGTAATATTTAAGTCATAACAATATTATTGTCACATTAACACATATTCTGGATAGTTTCCCAAAGTT